TGCAACCTTTAACTTTTTCTTCTTCTAATGTTACTTCTAATAAATATTTGTAAATTTTCGTTATGGATTTATTTTCATCAAATAAATTGCATCAAATTTATTTCATTCCCATTCAAATCACTGCATGCTCTGCGTGCTCCCTTTACACAATTTGGAACAACACGTACATTCTTCAACATGCCGGTAAATGAAACCTCATATTTAGATGAATATTTATCTCCTCTGCATTTCCCCCCCGTATAAAATGAGAGAGAACTGGAGAAGAACCGGAGGCCTGAGCAAAAATTTTAATACAGCAAAGTTAAGGGAGGGAAGATTGAAAATAACATCCAGAGGGATTTTCGTTTTGCAGTTTTATGATCCTTGAAAAAAATATATGACAGGATAAGTGTGTTTAATGTAACACATTAATCAAATCTTTCTTTTCCTGACATTTGCTTCAACATTTTATCACCTCAGATATTCTCTCTCTCTCTCTCTACCCCTCCCTCCCTCCCTCCCTCCCTCCATATCTCTCTCTCAAAAATAGTGGCTTCTCTTAGCTACTCTTGAACAAATAATTAAGTTATGCAGGATAACACAGAGCTAACCAAGCCTTTGTGACGGAAAAGCCAGCGTTTACGAGAACAGGAGCTCTGCGTTTCTTGCTTTTTACCTGTTAGGGTGTTCCTTATGTTTTACATCCAGGTATTTCAAGGTGGCAATGAAAGATTGAGCCTGGAACCCCCGGGCTGTGCCAGCCACCACAGGGGTGTGGCAGATGGCGCTGTCGGTCCCAATGGTGACTATATTACTCCGTAGGGGAGTGCCCACGTGGCCGACTTTATCCACGGCTTTGGTCACACAGCGTACGTGGAATCTCCGGCTGAAGTAAATGCTGTCCAGCACCTGAGAGGAAGAGGAGGAGGAACAGAGAGAGAGGGAGGAAGATGAAGGATGCTAAATGGTTCTGAATATCAGCCAGGCAATAGCCCTCAGGAATCTTTCCTGTTATGATTATCGTACAACAGCTAATGCCTGGGTATTTATTTATAGGGGGGGAAATGTCTGGACCAAACATAATTTCTAATGTTGGATTTTCCACCTTATCAGAGGGAGCCCCCTTGTGGAGTACTGTGAAGCTGTTACCATGACAATTCCACTGCACTGTACAGTAGAAACCATTTTACGGCAATACAGTAGAAGACATTTTAAGGCACAACAGGCTGTAGCTTAATAGAACACACGGGGGTGTTAGGGGTATCTTACCCCCACAGTATTTGTTATATATGTATAGTCTTTTTGTTTGCTGACATTAAATGAATCACGGCCTTACAGCCTTTTTTTTTTGCTGAGGTCATTAAGTGAATCACCGCAGTCATTCAGCAAACCCAGCTTTCCTCCGCTGACTTTACTTGTCAAAAGCCAGCTGGGAAGTTCATAAATGGTGATGTTGCATAATATCTGCCTAATACTTCTTCTACTTCTTATTTTCCCCCAACAACAACCCTGTGAGGTAGGTAGGTTGGATTGAGTGAGCGTGACTGGCCTAAGGGCACCCAACCAGCTTTCAGGCCTAAAGCAGGACTAGAACTCACAGTCTCCTGTGATTGGCTCAGACACCCAGTTGCCTTTCATGTCTAAGGGAGACTAGAATTTACAGTCTCCTGGTGATTGGCCCAAAGTCACCCAAGCAGATTTCAGGACTAAGGCGGGACTAGAACCCAGAGTCTCCTGGTGATTGGTCCCAAGTCACCCAGCTGGCTTCAGGTCTAAGGAGGAACTAGAACTTTCAGTCTCCTAGTATTTGGCCCAAAATCACCCAGGCTTTCATGCCAAGGTGAATCTAGAACTCCCAGTCTCTTGGTTTCTAGCCTAGTACCTTATTCTCTAACTCTTCTCTTTATTCCGAGCAACATGCTGTAGGAAAGAGATGGTTGAGGTCTGACCTGATTTTTTCTGCAGATTTTTCAAGAAGTAGCTGAGGCTATAATACCCAAGGATCTGAGGCCTTGGTGACCCCCATAGCCCTTGTCCAATTGGCCAGGCTTTGGTGGCAATAGAACCGCACACCTAAAATGGCAGGTGAACTCACTTCTCCTTTAAAGACCCAGAACACATAGAAAGTGTCCTGACATACTATACTGTTGTGGCCCAGTAGGAGCCGTTGGAGCTGCCACCAGACTCTGACAGCGAGGGGCCCTATGAGTCGGTTCTGGAGGATGTGGAGGACCCTGGACAGGGTTCCGACTCCGAGCAGGG